TATATATATATATTAAGTAGCGTCTCATCCCTTCCAAGTCCTCTGTGAAATACTAACGCGACGTTTCGTACGTTTTTTTGCGATTCGGACTTCACAGACGAGAAAATTAATGCAATAGGCGTAAACATCTTCAATCGACGCGATGGAAAAATAAAATATAACAATTACACACACACACATGCATGATATATATGTATACACACACACAGTAACATCATCGTCTTATTTCTCTAGACGTGACGGCCTGTCACAGATAAGTCGAGTGTTTTCAACGCGTTTTAGCGGAGAAGACAGAGGGATATTGCGCTGTCATTTCGCGACCTCGTCGAAGGAATCGTCCAGGATTTGACGTTTCGCATGCCGTTGGATCGCGAGACGAGGGGGAAATTCATCGGTTCCATTCGCTCACCCGATGCAGAAAGCCCGGTTACGGCGATCCTCCAGCGTCTACTCTGTTCCTCGTCGTCGTCGTGTTATCGGGCCCGAGGTTCCTCCGGACTACCGTTGCTCATATTGTCGTTTCATCGCGCACGGGTTAAAACCAGCACGTCGGGCGACCGCGGCGAGAATAAAATTCCGTCATCACCGCTGCCATGTTCAAACGTTTTCAACTCACTCTTCTTCACTCGCCAATAACCGAAGGGACACGAGGCGTTCGCACGAATTATATTCGCATATATCTACTCGGCAACGTTACGTTTCGGTCTCGAGGGCTGTCTTGTTCCATTGGGCGATCGCAATGCTCGTGGAATTATCTCGTCCTTCTCGTTCGCCGGAGATTAAACGAAGACGAAGACGATGCTCGCGATCGTCAAGTGGAACGTCAACGTGAACTGAGGATGCGTTCGGAAATGCCACGAATAGTGGGAGGGAGGTTTCGGTCGACCAATCAGAAACGAGAGATCGCTCCGCGCATCCCCTAGTCACGTGCGCATCATACGAATTTGATTGGTTCGTGGATATCAGTTTGAAGTTTGACAAGCGACTCCCGCGAAATTCAAATATTTAGAATTTATGTTTAAATTGTAAATATTTGAACTTTAATCAAATAAAATTTCGCGGAACATTTTAATATTTAGCGGAAATAAGAATGTTTCTGCGAGATTTTATTTTAATAAAATATTTATTTGTATATTTATATATAAAAAATATTTATTTTATATAAAATATAAATTACAAAATATTTTATAAAATGAAATATAAACAAACACGGCACGTGTATAAAACAAAATAAATATTTTATTGCTATATATTAGAAAAAATTTTACCGTCGGTTTATATTTTACATCTCACAATCAGGCACACATTTCGCTATGTAAAATTCACGACATATCGTCGTGTTCCTTCTCGGCAAAAATGTTATTTATACCATTACACCATTTATAAATATAAAATACAATGATGTACGATATTACGAGTTCTTTCAACGGGACGTCATGTTGCTGACAATTTAACCAACGTAAATCCATTTGCATGTATAATTCAGTTTCTAACATTAACGCTGTATGATGCGAGTAACAAGCATTGCTCATTCTTTGCGTCAATATATTATCAGCGTCCTTAAATATTACCAACAAATTGTTACTGGAAACCAATTCGGATTTTGCAGTGTCCGTGAGGAGATTCTTACACGTGCTGCATCCCTTGATACGTGAATTACTTAGGATTTTTGCTGCGATGGAGTTGCAAATGTTACGGTGATTATATGTTTCATCCAAGAACGTCGTTTCTGTTTCCAAATCAAGCATGAGCGCATCTTTTGGCGAGCTGTCATTGTTTCTATTTTCTACTTTATAGATAAATTCCTTTAACGTGAACAATAACGATCCATCTACTTTATTCTCGCTATTATTTTCCACAGTACGAGGTAACGTCAAATTGTTAATCAACAATGTTTTAAAAGAATTTTCAAATTCCGCGCACGTGGGATTGGTGTTCCTTACGCCAAAGGATCTAATTTGTTTGAAAAAATGTCGAAGGGAATCCTGGTTTAATACACGAGGTTTCAAGTACTTAAATTCGTATGTTTTTTTCAGAATTGTCCATAACTTGCAAAATCCTTGCACAGTAGAGATCCAATTTGTCAAAATAGTCGTATCTTTTAATTGATTCTTGTCTATCACGTCGACAAATCGCATTCTATGCAATCTCTTTATTGCTCTTTTCCAAAATGAAAAATGTGGACTGTTGTGCGAAACGGCGACCCTTAATGGTTTCTCCGGCTTTAACGTGTGTCCGTTTACAGAATCGAATAATCGATCAAAAAGAGAGTATTATCTCTGCGGTATCGCGTCCTTTCTTCTCAGGCATTTTTAATGGTCCGTACATTGTATTTACGCGTCCTACAAACAGAATTATTAGAATAGAAATATTTCAATTATTAATGATGTGCTGTGTGTATTTAATAAATATAAATGTTTCTTTTCTATCAATACAGCATTTATGTTAAATTTTATAAATATATACTTATAATAAAATATATAAATATATATATCTTGTATAAAATATATAAATACCTTCTAACTTGGTATGATGATGTATGAATCCGCCCATTGTCATACTTAACACTTGTATAGCATTTTTAACTTTTTTTTTCTTCACTTTATTTTTATTATATGCTCCGCGGTAATTTTCGGCATTAATCGATATACGCTATGAGTCAAATCCATATGATAAGCTTGTTCAATAATTTCCCATGAAGCAGATTTTCGTTCTTCACCTTCCACACAATCGAACTCGAGATCATTATTTAATAAATTGTTGCGTATACTTTTAATGAGATGTGGTGGATCGTACAATGGAATTATATCTTGATTATTTATTGTTATGTAACCATCTGTAAAAAGACAAAAATATTTAAGAAATCGTTATATTTTAAATAAATCTTTACAATGTAAGCAATTATATAAATTATCTGCAGAATAATTTGATTAAAAGTGCACTTACAATATAATTGTCCTTGCTTTGATTTTAGTCTCGCTGAGTCTAATTTCAGTTTATTTATAGCTGTAATATTCCTTTTTTCATCATTGCATATGAAAGCTACTAAATATAATCCACTTTCAATTATAATTTTAGCAATATTTTTGATCCATTCTATGAGTTGATCAGTTTTTATAGCACCGTCATAAAAGTAATATGCTAGTGGAAATTTCCATCCGCTTTGTATGCCACGGACCATAAAACTAACGCGTGATCGGCAAATCGTGCACTCCTTTTCTTGCCAAGTCTTCAAAACCAAGAATATGTTTCTTTGTAGCATCATAATCCACGTGAAGTTGCAATGTCATTTCATCCCACATTAAAAACACACTTTATCTCTCTCTTTCATTAATCTTACTTGTTTCTTCAGATGTTGATTTACAAAGTTGATTGGACCCGGATGAATGTTAACTTTTTGAAGTATAGATTGTAATGTGCGTATGCTGGGCAAATTGAAAACTTGTGTTAGATATTCGTAACTTTTACTAGATTGTTTCATGATGGATAAAGCTGCAATTTTCTCATCCAATGTAAAATATTTATCCTATGAATAAAATTAAATTAGTTTGTCAAATTTCAAACAATATATTGTATATTTGTACGTTTAGTATAACTTTTCATTTACATACCTTGGGTGCATATTTTGTCGCTTTTATTTGCATTTGCAGAAACGCTCGTTCAACAGGTGTTAAAGAAGACAGCAGCTTTTCTATAGCAGGACTCTTGCTATATTGCTTGGCTTGCCTTATACGTTCACGAAATGATAACTGCCTCTTTACAACTATTTCTTGTTTCTTTCTTAAAATACACGACAATTTATACAACTTCCACATTTTTGGGGTAAACTTGTGAAAGTGTTTTCCTTGTAATACAGTATGCAGGTCCAACAAATTGCGCGTTGTATTTTTTCTAAGGGATCCTCTGGAGGATCCTCATTTATTGGAGTAATAGTGTTTTGCAATACTTCTACTGTAGTTTCTTCTTCCTCTATTATCTCTATTATTTCAATTTCTTCCATATGAACAGTTGTATTAGTATCCATTGTTTCAGGTTCTCTTATAGGTGTCTCGCTATTCTTATTACCATCATCCCCACTGTTATTGTTGCCATTATCTGGCAGATATAACGATGGTATAACACCAGGTTTTAATCTACGTAATCTATATGTTGCTTCGTAATCACTATCCGCAAAATGTCTATAACATACAACACACTTTCTCAATTGCTCGTCAGTTAAGTCCTGAATATTCGCTGAATAAACAGCCTTCTTCCATTTATTCATCAGTGTGATATCTTTGGGAAACGTGTGAGAGGGTAGATTTACCCCTGTGGAACATCCTGAAACGCAGCAATGTCTACCCATAACCTAAAATAATAAATATATTGCTTCACAAATTTCTATTATACTATTATATTCTTAGACTATTAATTATACTTACTGCAGCTGCGAATAATAAAACGTATTAGCTGATTATATTCGATAAAATTAAGTTAAAACGCTGTTAAACGAAAAAAACGAGGGAAAAATTCGACATTTGCGGTTAGCGGAGACAAGAACCAAAGAAAGATTCCGGGTTACCATTAGAGTATATCAAAAGCACTGTATTACCGAGAATATTTCGTTGATAATATAAGGTTTGAATTTCGGCTAAATAGGGTTCTAATCTCTGCTAAATGGTGTTTTTGAGTGCTGATGAATGAAATTTGAGTTTTTTTTTTTTTTTTTTTTTTTTTTTTTACTAAAAGCTTATTAAAGAATATTATTATATATATTTATAATTAATGAAATTAATAATTAATTAAATTTAATTAATTTTATATATATTTAATGAAATATATAATTTATATATATATTTAAATAATTTAAATAAAAAGAAATATATAATTAAATAATTTATTATGTATATATTTAATTAAATAATTTATCGTTTTATTTTGTTGTGTTTTTTTTATCTTATTTCTCTTTTACTGATATAAATTACATTTTATGTATAAATGTCCAATTTCTCTCTCTCTCTCTCTCTCTCTCACTCCTGCTGTTGACAGCTGACAGCTGATGAATGAGCCGGCATCATCTGGAAGAAAGGATGCAAATATCAATTTTGAATTACGTGTTCCAATCTTTTGACAACATGATCAACAGGATTTTTAAATCACATTATTCGCGTCTTTTAATATATCCTGAAAAAGATTGCAAATACCTTGTAAATATTTATAATATATGCAAAGGTGCAATGCGCTTACCGTTTGTTATGTTTCAATGTCGCTTGCCAACGCGCCTTGTGAAATGAAATAATCAATAAAGATATGTGAACACGTATAAGGCGCAAAAATACACAAAATGGTAAATATATTTTTATTTCTATATAATTCTTTGCTACGCATAATACGAGTGCAATGATGGGAGAAAGATATCGATGTTAAAATAAAAAATGTATCAATAAAAATATATTATATGAATATACCTTTGCGATAGATCTTGTCGAGGGCCAAACCAGCCTCGTCCGATGGTGTTCGTAAATCGGCGTTACGTAAGGAAACACCTAAGTTGGTGGATTTCCTTGAGAAACGAGATTACATCGGTGCCTTGACATTACTGGAATTTGAAAGTAGCACTGGTAGCAGTTTGGAGACAGATCTATGGATGGGATATTGTGCGTTTCACTTGGGTGATTACAAACGTGCAGCAACGGTCTATGAAAGTTTGAGAAAAAAGGATTACGTACCACCGGATGTCCTGACAAATCTCGCATGCTGTTACTTTTATCTGGGCATGTATCCTGAATCGCAAAAGATCTTGGAAGATGCAGCGGACAGCAAACTGAGGACCAGACTGCTGTTCCACCTAGCCCACAAGATGGGCAATGAATCAAAATTAATGGAATACCATCAAATGTTGCAGGATGTTATTGAGGATCAACTCAGTCTAGCTTCTATTCATTATTTGCAAGCTCATTATCAAGAAGCTATTGACGTATATAAAAGAATCTTGTTGGATAACAGGTAGGAATAATATTTATCTACCTTCTCCTCAAACTTTTTTATCATTGACCAGAATCATATATCTGGATAGTATATTATTTGATACATCTCTTTACAATTATATTTTTTTTCTTTATATCTTTTTATATGCATGTAAGGTAGAAAGAAAAAAGCTAAAAGATGTCACTCCAGAACAGATTCTGAATTATATTTCCTTACCCAACTGCAGGAAAATTGCAGGTATCTATCCTTCCTTTCTTACTCCTTTCCTTATATAAATGAGGATATTTGTCTATTAATATTTATTTAATTAATCTATTTAATTTTCTCCCACTATACATAGCAATCAGAATATTAATTTCCATATAATAAAACAAATATAATTTTTAAGTTATGTAAATTTTACATGAATGTATTTTCTTTTCAGGGATTATCTAGCTTTAAATGTATACGTAGCTTTATGCTATTATAAACTAGATTATTATGATGTTGCTCAGGAAGTGCTCCAAGTCTACTTGCAAAAATATCCAGACAGTGCAATCGCGATTAATCTGAAAGCATGTAATCATTTTCGTTTATATGATGGAAATGCTGCACAAGCTGAGATGAAGCAGCTCATTGAAAAAATATCCAGTAGCTTTAGCTTTGGACATGATCTGATACGTCATAATACAGTTGTACGTATAAATTTTTTATATACTTTGCTTTTCCAGTTTTGTCCATTCATTCATTGTTTGTATAGGTATTCAGAGGTGGTGAAAATGCTTTGCAAATTTTACCCAACTTGGTCGACGTTATACCGGAAGCCAGGCTTAATTTAGTAATATATTATTTGAAGCAAGACGATGTCAAAGCAGCCTATGATTTGATAAAAGATTTGGAACCTGCGGTTCCACAAGAATATATTTTGAAGGGTATAGTTAATGCTGTTATGGGACAGGAGGCCAATTCTGTATGTATTATTATATCATTATTAGATTTTAATTTGTGTCTTAATTACACGACGTTAAAGCTTATCGTGTGTTTATCAAAAATTTTTTCAGCGCGACAGCATAAAAACAGCGCAGCAATATTTTCAACTAGTAGGTTCCTCGGCATCGGAATGTGACACTATACCCGGTAGACAATGCATGGCCTCTTTCTTCTTCCTTTATCGGCAATTTGAAAAAGTTAGATTATATCTGAACTCTATAAAGACGTACTTCTCCAATCAGGACAACTTTAACTTTAATTATGCCCAAGCACAAACTGGGGCGGGCTATTTCAAAGAAGCAGAGGAAGCTTTCCTGTCAATACATACTGAAAAATATAAAAACGATTATGTTTACATCAGCCTTCTATCGTACTGTTGTAAGTATATAGTGTATAATTTTTATTAAAGTTTTTTCTTGCAAATTGTACATGTAATAATAATATGACACTTACTTGTTTTTGTATTCAGATATAATGAATAAAAAGGCTCAACTAGCCTGGGAACTGTATCTGAAGATGGACACGTCGACGGAATCCTTCAATCTGCTTCAGTTGATTGCCAATGCGTGTTATAAAGTAGGTGAATTCTGGTACGCTGCTAAGGCTTTTGATATGTTGGAGCGCATGGATCCGAATCCTGAACATTGGGAAGGAAAGCGTGGTGCATGCTGTGGTACTTTTCAATATATCGTTGCGGAAAAATTACCTAAGTATGCATGATTCATGTACATTACATTCGTAAAAGATCGTAGGAAGTAATCCTTAATTTTTATAAATTTTTTGTTGTACAGAGAACTGTTGTCGGATGTGATACAACTTCTTAAAAATACATCCAATTCTCAAGTGGAACAGATAATACGCGTTATGCGCAAATGGGGAAAGGACAACAGAGTAAATTGTTAACATCATTGAATATCATATCATTATCGATTTCGTCCAAAAACAATGCAATAATCTTGTTATAAAATAATATTACAAAAATGTATAACGCATGTATAGAGAAAATATAGAGTTGATACGTTTGTTGAAATGAGGAGTTATAATTTCTTATTTATAAACAACAATGTAATATTGCAATAATGTAATATATGTGCATTTTGAATAGATATACATTTTATAAATGAATAAAATAAAATCATAAATTTGTAATATTGATAAAAAATAACACCTCATTATCGATTTAATATAAAATAGATATATTTAAACTTGTGTAGTACATTCATGTTTTTAATATAATATCAATAATATAATAATATTAATAATAATAATTTTAACAAACACAATCGGTGAGTTGTAAAAACATCATAGTTATCATGGCAATAGTTTTTCGTACACTTCTCTATTCCACCAATTTTCGTATGCAAATTATTTTTGAATAACTGCGAGTATCTTAATACCTGTACTTGTTCGTTTATATAGATCGCAGTTTATCAAAAATATTTTTGGTGGAATGGCGGTAGATTTAATATGAAAAGAAGGAGCAAGAGGCAACAGAAGGAAGAAGAGAATACTAGCTGTTTCAAACACTAGCATCCTGGAAAATTGAGCAGACAGGAGTAAATATTCTAACATTTAACCATTAATGTAACAATGTCATGACATAAAGAAATTTATTTTTTAAATCGAACTGAAGAAGAAAAGAACATCTATCGAGTTATTTTTCGGAATGCTATATCAAAAACAATATAATTACCAACTTCTCGAAGAATTTCAGAGAAAATCATTACAAAGCAAAAAATCTTACAAATTGTATGATCTTGTATTGATAACTGTAGAATAGTATGATAAAGAAATATATTATTATATATACATCCAAGACTTCAAAATGTCCTCTCTTTCTTCAGTCCGATTCTGCTCATCTCTTTCAAAAAGGTGAGGAAAAGAACTATCTCTTTTCGATCAACAGCTCTCTACACCGCATTTATACTTGTGTTTATGGAGAAAGAGTGCCCGATAAAGTCATCACTACATCGTCATTACGTTATAAAAATAGCATCGAGAAATTTCAGCGTTTTCGTATTTTTTTTTCTTTTCGGCGGAATTTCAGGTGCACTATGCTACGGATTTTTATCTGTTGGATAATATATCATGCTAATGGCAGCACTCGTTCTCCGAAACGCCTTTTATCGCTTTTCTACACGCTTGAGGCATCGGTGTAAGAGCTTCATTAAGAGAATCCACACACTATATTCGATTATTACGTACCATTAATTTAAACATCATTATTCCTTTCGCGTAATGCATACATACATTGTGTCGAATATCGATAGATTAAGACGTAAGATTTAGCAGGACTATGTTACTAGTATAGATACGGTAATAATACGGCAGAAATTTTTGTAAAATTTTACTTTGTTATAAATTGCGATAATTCTCTCTCTCTCTCATTTTCTCTTTTTCTTTCATACACACACATACATATACATACATGCACACATACACATTTTCATACAAGTTTTATTCGTGCGCTCTTTCTCATAAATATTCTAACGATTTCGTGCTTTTCTCATTTATATCGCGTTTTAACTACGATATACGAAGAAAAATAGCGACTAACTTTCTGCCAATTCCAATACTTGACGCTCAAGCACGGTATGCAATATCTTGTATATGAAAAATATGAAAGCGAAACTCATAGTGCGTGAAGAAAATTCAAATTAGAATCAAAACTTGGAACAATTTTCATTAAACATTTCAAAAGAAACATGTTTTCTAATAGAGAGACGAGATAGAATACGAGTTTTGCTTTCATACTTCCCAAATCAATTCCGAGAACTTTGTATCGAGGATTGCAATCGGTATAATTTCGACTTTAATTTTCGAACACTTTAAAAATACACGCGAGAGAAAAGACTTTATATCAAATTGTTTAATATTTATTTATTCGCGCATAAGGACCATGCGCATATGATATGAAAATATTAATTTAACGAAATTATGCCGGTATCAATCTCTATCTGTGCGAGAGCAATATCCGGAGCGCTTCCCCTATTCATCGTTTCACAACATCCTTCATCATGTCCCTTGTCTTCGAGTTACAGCAATAATTTCACGTGAAACCTTAATTAGTTTTTCTTTTACAACAATATCAAATGTAAGTTTACATTAAACGACGAATCTTTTGTAAATGAGCGAATTCTTCGAAAGTGATACACACGTTGACAAACGTCAATGATTTACATTGTCTTTTTTTTTAATAAAGGATAACTGGGTTTTCTAGTTTCTAACAAAGTTCGAGTAAGTTCTAATATAAATTTGATGGATTTAAGTGATAATGCCATTAGCTAAGAATTTATGTTGATATATGTATATATAAATGTATATTATCAGTTTTCCAAAAGCAAAAACTGTATATAATTAAATCAATTCTTGAATATAAAAATAATAGTTCGTAACAGTAAATGTACTACGTAAATCCTTAAATTTGTTATATATGTATATAAATTATGCATGAACGAGAGAAACTACGTGCTCGATTAATTACTGTACCCGAATGGACGACGGATGCTGCAATAATACACAGATCGAAGGATTCCTACGACGCGTAGAAACAAAATTAAGCGATCTACGCGGCATAAAAATCGCCTCATCGCTTATATCGACAAGTTACACAGTAAGATAATAGTAAGAAAAGAGCTACTTAAAAAAATCCATGTACACAGAGTATTTATAATAGAGTGGCTATATATACATATACATACATATACACGACCACTCTTGGAAATTTTCTTTCCGCCATATAAGTGAGGACACATCGGCGGAATATAAGACTCAATTTCTAACGTATTTTTTTGCCCTCAGCTAAACGAGCGAGATCCAAAGTGATAAACCTCATAGCGCACACTTAATGCGTATCTTTGAATGTGTGTAAATAACACACGTCGTTTGGCATTTTTATATGGCATTGCTCAGTGCTCAAAGAGGTGAATCGACAGGATCCGGTATTAATATATATATATATATAATGGATACCTTTTACGGAAAACGATACATTGGATTGGCAGCGTACAATTTGTGCTATATATAATTCGATCGAATTAGATATGCGCAGCTTCTCGCGCACACAGTCTTTGTATATTGTTAAATAAAAGGATTTTTTTTCTCAGCAGTTTGTTCGCTTTTGATTTCTTTTCGGTTGGTTTTTTTATTCTATCCATACGCTGTGATTATTTTAACTGACAAGAAAAAATGCAAAGAGAAATACAAGTATTTTATATTTATACTGCTTGAGGAAACGAATGTCAAGTGTATCAGATTGAATATCCAACGTTGTTTATCTCTACGTTGAAAAAAAATAAACGAAAAGATTCGACATTCTCGACATCAAATCACATTAATCTAGAACGATGTTCCTTCCGCGGTATATCAAAACACATACGAGTATTATAATTCTTACAGAAATATTACAAAAAGAGGAATTCGCGTGTCGCATCACATTTACGCTCCGTAGAAGGAAAAAAGAAAGACGTCGCGAAAGGATCATTGGCCTATTTCAGTCTGTATTAAACTTGGTCTTTAAACTTTTGGTGTTCGCACAATCCGTGGCACGCTCGGGAACAAACGAGAGCAAGGTATATTATTATACGTAGTCTCTTTTATATCCTGACTTCTCTTTCTTCTTGAGTGTCCGTTTGTAGCTGCGCGTGAGGCTGTGCGTCGCCACACTGTTCAGTGCAGTTTTCGTGCATGCCACGGTACTTGTTTCCTAATTTCTATCCCTGAAACACAGAACGAGAATATATTTCCTTAAGAGATGCGTTCGGAGATCCTATCCATCACAAAAGGAGTAAATATCAATTAAATATTACTCTATCCCACGGATAAAATTTCTAAACTTAGAGATACTTGCCCTGGTCCAGGATAGTAATAGGGCGGCGGTCGTTCATATTCAGTGCTTAGGGGAGGCGGAGCCCCGGCAGTTGCTGGTTGATATCTTGGTGGACCACCGTTAGGAAAGTCCCAATTTCTGTAATAACAATATTCGTGAATTCGATAATTATGCTCGGCCGTATTCAACGTTCGATTTTAATTATAAATCAAGTCGTAATAGCATTTGCTTTCTAATGAGTTGTATTCATTCGTTTAGCCCTTTCTGACGTAGAATGATCATGAAAAAAATTCCACGTAGAAGTGGAACAGTTTTGGCAGTGAAAGGGCTAAACATCTGACGCATCTATCGTGTCCTTGCCACAGTAAAATGCCATTTGCGAACTAACATATGATATAGCAGCCGCCCAACAAGCGAAATGAAAGTAAGATCGTATACGTAACTTGACTGTCTCGATTACAATTGCAAAATATAATCACGACACATGTTGGAGAGAATAGACATGCTTCTCCGCGAAGAAAAGTTGAAGTACCTTTAAGCTAAAAATCAACGTTACAAGATAGATATTACTCGACACGAGTAGTTTACATCGACATTATAAGGCTATATATAAGGATATATATAAGGCTTCTCTTATTAAAGACACTAATATATTCCACATAAGCATCTCCATAATGGAGAAAAAACTGAACGATCATTTGTACCCTATTTCACAGATGTGTTTCTTACTTGTTATACGTATATATTTCTTGCGAAAAGCCTAGTTTTCTTGCAAAGCTATTCGTGACCAATTAAAAAAGGGAACAGAAAATAAACAGATCGAATAAATGCACAGAAGAAAGGATATGAAACATTTGTAACAATAGTCTTTGCGACTTACGTGCAGAGGCGTTTACGTGAGAGACGCGAGAGGTCGACCCCCCGCAGAGTTCCCACTCACCTGGAAATAACCGGGAGAAAAATCGTGACCATCGGGGTAGCATCATAAAATGCGTCGACACATGATATTACACTTCAACAGTTAAACCTCAGCAATCATCACCATTATTTAAAATCGAGTCGGAACAATCGACATTGTTTTTTTTTTGCGGTCTATGGATAGAAGCACGAATATCACATACTCCATCATCGGATGAAATTTGTCCTTCTATCGCCATCAAAACCGTGGAACAACATCGATCGTCCGAGCTTTATATAAGCTACATATGGAAACGATGCGATATCATTCGATGAGTGGGAACCCTGTTCGTGCCGAGTAAAAAATGACGAAGAGATATTCTGATATTTCTTGCCAGAGATTCGATATATACTCAAACAAGGTGAAAGCATTACGTATCACAGAAAGCTGTTTTATTTGCTTATCGCTCCGATTAGAGACTTACTGCGACTCTAGTGATACGCTAAAGACTTTATTGTGAGGTTCTGTTTTGGAAGGGTGTTCGTGGTTTCGCCACGATAGGGTGAAACTGTAAAGAAATCAGACCGATGAAACGATGAGAGGAAAAAAGAGAAAGAGAGAGAGAGAAAGAGAGAGCTAGAGAATTTCAGGGCGACGTTACGTTCACCTAACGTAACGTCGCCACGATGTCACGTTAAATAAATCCTGCATATGAACCCTGTCTCATTCTCAAATGTCTCTTAATCATCGATGTGCATAGAGTCTCACTAGGTAACGAGATTATGAAGAAAATTGCTTTCCCCAGAGAATTCCACGGTGGAATAAATATGAGGTAACACATGAAGACCCGGAAACGTTCCTGTAGCAAAACTTACTTCGGTGCCAGATCGGAATATCTCGAGTCGTGATGCGACGTACTCTGATGGGCGTCGGGAATCCTCTCGCGCTCGCTGTATCCCACCGCTGGACCGTCATAGCTTTCGACGTATGCCGCGGGATGATGCCTGCTATGGGCGACGTGCTTCTTGTCGTGAACGCTGCAATCAAAGACGATATGTTTACTTAAGACGTCAGACTGAAGCGAGCAACTCATGCGAGTTAGAGATCAACGTGTCGTACGCACTAAGCCGCGGTGTATCGGTGTTAAAAACCTTTTGGATCAGTGTTTCCCAATCTATCTTGCTCGAAAATCCTTAAATGTGACAGAATAAAATGCCTTAATTGCATCTCTTCATACTTCTTGGATCTTGGAACCAATTGAGAAATGTCATTTGGGAAACACTTTTCTGAGTAGTGTGTATTAATCCCAGAACCGCACATAAATTCTCGCAGGATGATCAATTATATTTATCATGAGTTTCGTAGAATATAATCAAATAAGATTAGATCAAAGATTTATATTCGCTGATTCATTTCGATACCTCTTGATTTAATTCTTTGTTAATTAAAGATTTAATAGAAAAATTCATTATATCAGATTAGCCAATTACTATACAAACTCCATTATTATACAGTCCTATGGTTAAACAACACTTCCCAGATGATTATAGCTGGTGCTATATGTTTAATCTAAAAGCCGTCATCTATTTGCATACGCATGTTTCTCTTATTGTTAGTGAAGCTCTTACATAAGCAAAAATTATTAATATGCCAAATAATATAAATATAATCGACATAAGCGGAAAATAAATTCTAAAATATTTAAAGAAATTGAATACGCAATATATTTTACAACGTAAGAATATCAGCACGAGAATGTTAAATTCTTATACAGGGTGCAATGTTACATACAATATAAAATATTCAAAATTTTAATAAACAATATTTAATGTTACATTAGAGTGATACGTATAAGTCAATAGAGACACTTTACATTGTACAAATATATATGTATTAATTTCTTTAAAGTTATAAACGCGGAGAGAAAGATAGTAAAAAACCATATATTACTAATACTTATAGAGGCCTTTCTATTTAGATTAAAAAATTTAATTTAATACTATATAAATAAAAACAATATATATTTAAATATAAAGCGTCTTATTTATGTACATTTCTGACTTATTTGCGCATCGCATTTGCGATTATGTTAAAATTATTATCTTTTAATTTTAAATAATGCATAATAGTTTCTCTTCTTTTTTATTTCTGACGAAGAAGATAGAAGCGAAGAAACATATAATTCACGTAACAAAATATTATTCTTATTTAGCAAAAATTGAACAAAAAAGTTGAATGAAAAACAACGGGGCACAGAAAATGATGTGTCAAACAACCGCATTCGGACGATGATGTTTCATATGTGCATGCGTGTATCTCTCGGAATATACGTAGGACATGCGAGAGCACATTGTAGCTTTGTCGTGGTATACTTACTGGGCGAGGGGTATGTTATCCCTGTCTGCGTACGCGTCATACAAATATTCACTGTAACGGAGCGTGTTAGCGGTTAGATTCCAACAACCATTCCACACATTAGATGGCTACTAACATAATCTAAGCTACCGCGATGGACCGCGCGAAAGATCTTAGTGTCCTACTGTCAGACAGTAATCTGTTTCCATAATCATTTTGTGTTATGCGCGGATTAATCGTGACATGTAATCGTCATAATTTTGCAATATTAAAGTAACACGAGTATAATTTTATTTATACATTATTAGGTAATAAATAAAATGCTACTTTATTTTAATAGAGCTTTATAAAATTATTGAAACCCTATTGGTTGTGTATATATATTAGAACTGTTAATTCATTATGCGTTATGTAAGAGAGTTTCAACTAAAAATGGGATAATTATTACACATAAGGTAATTATTTTCATTTTGAATGACTTTTCGAGATCGAGAGAACAGAATTTCGAGTCAGAAGACTTTCTTTTAGAATTTACGAGATTGAAAAGTTTCTTTGTAAATGAAAAAAAAAAGAAAAAAAACGAGGACATGCCAACTATCAAAGATGTTACAAAGCGCGAATAACATGCTATGGTATGTGGAAGCTTGAGAGTGGCTACGAGACGGAAATGAAGGAATCAACAATTTCTACATGAAGGGGTGCTTAGAAAGGTTAGTTAAAATTCGCAGAAAAAAGATAGAAGGAAAGCCTTGATTTCTTTTTGAGTTTAAAAATGTAATGTATCATTATTTCTTATATTCTATTTTTTTTAGATTCGCGTAATCAAGATTATGGATAGTTAATCAACGATTCGATAAATGATTCATGTTTGATGCATGATATCGATTGACAATATCTACTGAGGACACATTAGTATCTCAAAATATCATCATGCACCATAGATTGATGAGAAATAAAGAACAATTAAAAATATAATTTTTTAAATCGCAGTCATGAATTGCTATGCTTGCAAAAGGAAAATAGAAACTTACGCTTCGACAAGAGGTCCTGGATATGGATCCGACTTTTGATACAAAGCACTCAGTTTCACACAGAGCACTATCGTCGGTATGAATAGGATCAAGCACCAACCGACGCTCGCCCAGAAGCCGTTCTGCGTATATAAATGCAAATAGAAGCATGAATATTAATTCTGAGCAAGGTCCGTTTAATTTTGCAATATCGCGACGCGACAAATTTACTTGTCAGTTAAGAAACTCGTAGAATACTTAAAAAATTTAATGAGAGTTATTGAAAAAGTCTAATACATGATAGACAATTAACTATATCTCAATAAACTCGTCAACAATTCAAGTAGATAGTATTAAGTAGCTTTAAGAAGACGTAAAACGCGCGATACTCACAAATGGATCTAGGATTTTATTGCATCCTGCTACGAGTGTTGCGTTGTAAGCATTCGAAACGGGAGCGCACCTTCCCAATTTAAAAGTTGCAGATTTGATTACGTGCTCGAGGAAGTTGTCCACTTGATGTAAGAATGCATTGCCAAATCTAGTCGCGAGCTATCAATAATATTAATAATATTACATTTAGCCATATGCATATAAAAATATTTCAGAAATACGTCTAAAAACGGAAGAAACATAAGATACATACATATTGAACGTATTCTGGTCCATCTTTATTCAGGAACACCTGTGCCTTAGTAACTTCATCCACTAAATCGTGAATAGCGTCTGCCATCGAGCTATGATTAAACTTGATGTTCTCTTGAAGCATTAGCGCGTTTGCGCTTAATTGCTCGCTGAGCGTAGCCATCGGCATGACCAAATCTCTGTGATAATGTTCCAAGTCGTGCGCATTTTTCTCGAGACTGAGTCTGATTTCCTCTTGGCCCTCCGGCAGTTTAGCAGATACCTCCCGCAATTGTTTGGCAAGATGTTCCAAGTTAATATTCGTGATGTTGTCGGCAAGCAACTCGGCATACTGATAGAATTTAATATCGCTGAGACCGCTCTGCGCCAGATCGTTCAACTTGGATCTCGCGCTGTCCTTCAGAATCACCACACCGGGGGAAAGGCTGATCTTGCGGCGCAACTGTTGTATGGTGTCATTGATGTCGTAACGTCCAGCATAATCGCGCAGGCTTTCAACGTCAAACACATTTTTCAGATTCAGCACATTGTAGAGCGTCTCGTTTTCATGACATTTGCTATAAGAAAGGGAAAGATCGAGCGTTGATAATTTTTTTCGATATAATATCATTTTACGTGACATTTATTATAATTAACAATATATAGTTTTGATCCATTTGTTATATAAAATTATATATAAAAGATTATTTACCATAAATGAAATGTTATGTTTTCAAATACCAAATAAGCGGTTTTTAAATACAAAAAATATACACGTACTTACGTAACAATATAACTCATGTTAATATTCGCATTAGGATATTTTGGATACAGTATCCTCTTGATTTGCACAAGCTCGTCGACCAGCTCGAACATTCTATTGTCTTTCGGATTCTTCAAAGGTTCGCAGATGCCACGTTGAGCCATAACGCCGGTTATCATATGCACGACAGTTATGACCATCAGGATGCTCGTTAAAAGAAAGATGATCCACACAGCCCTGCAATTCAAGATCAAACAAGAGAATGATAATTTTATTCTATAATAAATCAACTTTATTCTAGATTTAAACGCGACGTTTTTGCAACCTACATCATGAGAAATCGTGCGCCTGATCCCTTATTACAACAATCATCTCCGTATCCGTCCGGACGCTTTCCGCAAATACCACAGAGAAGACCACACGTCAAGCACATTAGAACAGTCAGAAGAATACCGGATATACCAAGACCGAGATAGTATCTAAAAATAAAAATGCGCATTTCGGACAATCGTGTCGAGCATTATCCACTTAGATATAATTTTTCACGAGATATACATTTATCACGAACCTATAGGGAGAATACTGATCTATATTGTTCCGGGCAATTTCTAAATGTCGAATATAAACTCTATCTATATCGACATTTATTCTGTCGATGATGGCAGTCATGTTATTGGCGATGCCTGCCAGAAAATTACAGGCTCGTCGAATACTCGCGCTGACCACGGGAATCGTTTGATTAACGGCTTGCTGAATGTCCTTCTGGATCTTTAGAAACGAATCCCTGCCTTGGCTCACTTCCGACACTATATTACTCTCCATCAGCACGGTGATGTTATGTAACGCGAATGTAACGTCCGGCAGCTGGAAAGTACCATAAATTATATATAACGTAACATGCTTTTTTCAATAAAATAAAAATTGGTATGGAATAATTGTCAATGAAAAATACATCACATAAAATAGATTGAAATTATTTGAATGCTAAGTGCGATTTCAATAAAAACTAAAAAAAGACACATGCTATTTATATTCATTAACTATCGTCAGATCTAATTTTATTTAATATAAAAATATAAATAAAGAAAATATATTTGTGTGCATATAGTAAGATCTTAAAACTAGAAGAGTAATCTACAAAGAGTATTAGCGAATCAAATGGATCTCAACTCATAAAATAAATTTAAATATAAAATTATTCCAGTCGGAGTAAAAATTTAAAAATGGTACATTAACATATTTTAAACAGCTACATTTTTGTTTAATTATAAACTGTTCTTCTAAGCATTGTTTTTAATCATCTTAAAGATATAAGATTATTGAAGAATTTTCGTTCTCTTGTACTTGATAAATATGTAAATGCAAATAACGCGTGCTATGAAACAAGTTTTATTAACAGGCTCATATAATATGTAGGATTTTGGCAAATATATTTATATTCATAGACTACTTTGCAAAATTAAATAATAATGCAAATAAGAGTATATTTACATAAAATATACACTTAAGTAAAGAAGAAACTGCATGCTATAGCTTACAACTTACAGACGCTAGAAGCTATTTGTGGCAAGCATGGAATCAAACAAATTTATACAGTATCTCTCCCTCGTATACTAATAATCACACGATGTGCAAAAAACCATAATATTCGATATTGATAAACATATTTCGCAATATAAATTGCAATAAGCAAGACTGAAAACAATTGCATTTGTCTACAATATGTCGAAATATATATCAAAAATTGAGAGTAAGGATCAATTCTTATTATAAATCTAATCGCTCGATAAAATTCGGTGACATTAGTATTTTATTTCAAAAAGCCTTATTATAAGCAAACGAAAGCCAAGGCAAGTCTTGTACAAATCTACCGTTTCGATACATTAAATAGTCGCTATTTTCAATGCACTTGGACCTCGATATAATGTGTACTCAAAGATAACAAACGTCTCTCGAGATTGTTTAGCATTTTCATTTTTTTCTTTAAATTAATTTTGCTATATGTATATATATCGAGGAGTTCTCCGAGAGCATTTTTATTAAATTTTAAATTGTTAAAGGATTTCTTTCACTGTAAAATCATACCTTTGGAAAATAACGGTCCATGTACTGCATGTAAAGAAGGAAAAAATATTCGTCAGATAATTAGCTGAGGTAGCTAACAAGATAAGAAACGAGACTCATGCGTCTACTTACCTTATCAAAGTCCACTTGTACTGACATTTGATTCACTTTGTAGTCGTGAAGAACTCGCTGGCACTTGTCAGTTGTGCATGCAGCCAGTGTGTGGAGAAGATTTTTCTTGACGCCACGAACAACTGTAAGAGATTATTACAAATTAACATTTTGTTTTTAAAGGTTCTCGTTTCACGTTAAAACAATCCATTATATGAGAACAAATTATTTCTTGAATAAGGTATAACTAGATTTCATAAATTTACCTAAAAAATATGTATAGAAAGCAGCTTAATTTTTGTTTGCGATTTAAATCACTTGATATAAATTGAAAAAAAAAAAGAAATACATATCAAGGGTATCAAACAATTTTCTAATTTTATTCAATAAATGTTAAGATGAATAATTAGTCGAGCTACGTACCGATGTCTAACTGACTGGCGTTTGTTCGCAATTCCTGTGTTATTTTATTCATCAGTCTCAAATCCTCTCTGATCGACTCTAAGCCCGCGACTATATCGTTCAGATTAGTGAGGGAAACGGCGTGTGAGTATTCCGCTAGTTGCTCGGTAACGATTTTGCCGCTGGCCTGTAGAATATTGTTGAGCGTAACTTCTAATTCCTCGGGATTGGTTTTAAGCAAATTGTCGATCTCTTGCTTTGTGGTAGTCAAGTAGAGCTTGACGTCCTTCAGACTAGTCTTGGCGTTGGTCGGAAGCTCTCTGGTTCCCTCCTGCATGTACTCATTTGTCACGAAGGCGCAGACCACCCCGAATCTGATCCGATTATTATTTGTTCAAGTAATTGTCTACATTTAATTTCATCGGCTAAAAACAGCGAATCGTTATAGAATAATTGAAAAATTGCATCGTCGAATTTTATACAAGACTATCTTTTAAATATAACTTCTGAGTATAATATTAATACCGCATATTTAATGAAAGCGGATTAAATTGTTATTATTCGGACCGATTAATTTCCAGAAGACAGAGAGAAAAAATAATTGTAAAACTATGCAACATACGATGCGTCGATATATTCATTAATATTTGCAATAATAAGAGGAAGCAAGCGTGTTTTGGAAATTTCCAAATTCCTTTATATTGCTATTCGAATATATGGCATTACTTTTGTTTACTTTTTAATGTTTCCATATAACGTAAAATGTTTAAGACAAAACTCGAAATTGAATGTATTACACTGAAAAAATATTTGTAAAATTACATGATTATGCTGGGTTTTTTTAAACCCAGAATAATCAATGCAATATTACTCATATGGAAGATTATAGATTATATGTAAATTCATATGAAATATATTCTTATACATTTTCAAGAATATTCCACTGAACACGGAATTACACATATAGAAAATGCTAGTAATGTGCAAATGCTATATAAAATAATGTTATAAATAAAATTGATAAATGATAAACTTATAAAAATAAAGTTCTAATAAAGTAATAATACTAAATTTAAAATAACATGTAATTTTTGCATAAAAATAGTGATTTTACCTATATTTTTTACATATATTTTTACATTAATATGCATTTTCACTTCAAAACATTTGGAAAACAATTATAGTGATAATTAAGTAATTTTTTCAGTTTTGAACAAGTAATTTTCAAAGAATTTTTTTCAGTATAGAACAAACGTTTGTGGAATGATGTCTTAAAAGTTTGGCGAGTCATGTAAAAAAATCTTACAGTATAATAGTGGCGACTCCTATTAGCACGATGCTGAGCATAATTTTCCTGCAATGATCGTGCTTTTTGTCGAAGGGTTGACTTCGAGCACCGCAATGACCCGCGCATCTGCAGCAACAGAAGAAGAGACCCGCGCAGGGGAGAATAGCTGCCAGGAGGAGTCCAATCAGAGCTAGACCCGCCAGTCCTCCATAATGCGTCACTATGATCTTCCATTCTTTCAGAGGGTCCGCGAAAGCCGGTGCACCGTCAACCAAGTTGATCATACCTGGGGAACAGAAATATTCCGTCTGATTATAAAGTCTCGCTTTCGGTGAATATTCGTGTTCGTGAAACAACTGACATTTAATTAAGAGAAACTGGCTGCAATCGACCCTGTTACATGCATAGCAAATGTCAATCTTTCACTCTGCATTTTGTAGACTCGATGTTTAAAAAAAAAAAAAACAGCGCATTGCCGCAATCGAGTTGAATTTCTTGGCAGCGGTAAAATCTCCGCAGTAAAATTCGCAATATGAGAATTCTAAAGAGCTGCTTCAGCGATTTGTGTAACTCTCGCGTACATGATATATCAGCTCGTATTTAAATTAAAAATGGTCACGAGTCTCGCGAGAAACGAGTTCTAATAAGGGAAAGCAACCCCTTTTCTACTCGACGATTCATAATGTATAAAAAAAAGCAGCTTCGAACGTGCGTTCTCCATCGGAACAGCTGATAGTGTGTTGCGTCCTTCCTCACGAGTGGGGAGAACCGGGCGAGAGAACGGATAGAAATGAGGACGCGTCAAATGTGGGTCATAGGTCAGGGTGCCGGAAGGGTTGCCAGGTCGCAACGGAAAACAACGAGGACGGACGGCGAAAATTTATTTGCCGGATAATGCAAGCCAAGGAAATGGGTCAGAGCTCTGCTTGGTGGCTGTATGTTTTAGATTGTCGGCCGTAGCGAGCTGAATCGATCTACATCCGGTGATTCTATGCGCTTTTCTACGCTCGCGTACGCACGCGCGATGCAATCGTGTATGGTTGCGGCTCGCAACAAGATTTTTCACATCGGGGGTGAATCGGAGAAAATATATTCCTCCGCGCAATTTATCTCTTTCCCTCTTCCTACCCTCAGGAAATTTTTGTCCGGCAAGTTTTGGCGGAAAGAGTAATGACGCACGAAATGATCTAAATTAATGTTTGCGACACGTTTGATGCTCTAAGAGATATAACATGTTCGATTTTGTGTATAACGAGATCGTGACACTCTCTGATGGACCGCTCACGCGCTCTAGAAATCGCATTTGTCGCGAATCACTAAGTGCATCTTATTCGGTGATGCGTGAAAGTATTCCTTTCTCTTCATTTTCTTATTACGCTCTTTCTCGAGAAGATGTTAATGTTCCGATGCGACCGCAATACTGCAAATTTCTGCGCAATAATGTATAATGATGGTACTTTATCATTTCTATATAAAAAAAGTTGATAATTTAAATGCTCCTAAAATTTCGATATTGATGAAATTCTTCGAAAAGCAACTAAAGTTTTTAATTTGATTCTAATTCAAAAAGTTTTGATTAATAAGAATACACGGAAAGAATTTTCTCTTACCATTTACCCTGAAAATCATTAATATATTTTATACGATAAAAGATATTAATAATGTATATATAGTAAATTTTACTAATATACCATATTGTAATATATATTAATATTTTTTATTACAGTAAACATATTAATTAGAAAAACTCTTATAAAATTCTTTCAATACCATACTGTCCTACGATTCCACAATTTTCAGAGTGAATTCTAATAGAAAATTTTCTAATAGAAAATTCTCTCAGCATATACAGGTATATAAGGAAATAAAAATATAAAAATTAATGTAAAATATTTTACTCTCTATAACAATTTTTTTCATTTCAATTAGAGATAAATTTATATATTGCACATAATTTTAATTATGTCAGAAATAAAAAATATGAGATAAATTCTAAAAAGCCTTTAAAGTATCATTATCTAAAGAAATTAATTTTGATTAAACGCAGTGAATTTAATTAATTTAGTAAAATGACTAAATTCTGCCAAATATTCGTCTAATTGAAATTACCACGTTTCTCCAAAAGCATATCTCGTTTGCAGAATGTCAAATCAGAGCGGAGGCAATGTCAATCAAGTTCCATGAATCATGGAGAGGATTTTGAGGACGACTCTAGTTAGCGATAGACAGTAATAGGGCACACAAAAAGAATAGATTGAATTCGTTAGGGAGCAGCATGTATTCAATGTTGGATAAATCAATAATAGCGGAAATTTTTAAAGGAGTTACTCCGATCAATATTTATCACAACAAAAAATATAATTAATATGTACATAGTAAATTTTACTATGTATATAGTAAAATTAATCGAACATATATTTTTATATTGTATTGTGATAGATATTAATATTTTTTATTGCGGTAAATATTAATCAGAGAAACTCAAATAAAAATATTATTAATATCTACCCATTAAATATAAAATATGTTTGATTAATTTTACTATGTACATGTTAATATTTTTTATTGTGATAAATATTAATCAGAGAAACTCTTATAAAATTCTTCCAATACCATATTGTCCCATAATTACCATAATTTTTCAGAGTAAATTCTAAGAGAAAATTCTCTTTGTGTACAAATAAGAAAAATAAAAATATATTTTACGGGAGTCACTGTTTGATGTGTCACATTCTACTAAGCATCAAATAAATTTATTCATTATTTGAATAATTTAGCTTTAAAGATTCGCACAATTTTTGTCAACATGTCCAAAATTGTTGGAGAAAATTTATGGCTATTTAGATTCTTGTAGTCTGCCGACACTGATCTATAAATAAAAGAAGCGTGTGATGGATTTCGCTATGATAAGCAGGACACAGTGTAGAGATGTTTCATGGGAGATTGAAAAATCTATAATTTATTTTTGGCGCAGAAAAGGACGTTAGTGACGTCAACAGTGCAATGTCCGATGATGAAAGAAAAGTATGTTTTCATTGAGGTCATCATAACTATGCAACGAAACAATAATAATCATAAATCTCTGTAAAAATTTAAAATTTTTTAACAGTTCTCCAAATACTTTAGATTATTTGGTCGAAATGAGAATAAATTTTAAAATCATTAAAATATTTGCATCTCTCGTATTCATTCTGTTATTTAAACACGACATGAGAATAAACATGTTGACAAACGCAATAAATTGTACAGATATGTTTTCAGTATGTCACAAATGCAATATTATATTTTGTTACATAAAAGCATGTAACGTAATTGTATACGTGTTGCAAAATCGCATTACGTAGTTAATTTTTCTCCGAGTTGCATAATATTAATTTTCGATTCGGGAATAGAAATATGCCGGAAACATGTTATGGTCGACGAAGATGTATGGTCTTCCTGGACCGAATTTCAAGAAACTAGGACACTACTGCGATTCAGCATGAAAAACGATCCCACTCTTGAAAATTTGTCCTCCTTTGCGAGAAAACGACTCTTGGTTCTCGCAGAGAACTTGTCGTAGTTTCCAGAGCAATAAACAATCGTTTAGATTTACGACTAAATTCAATGACCTATTTTTATTTGTAATTCGACTCTTCATAGGACATGTATTATATATGTCAAATATATTTTAAACAATGCTATATTTTTACCGTATACATATATATTATTGAATTATAATAACAACAAATTAATAAGAGACCTGCGTGTCTTTTTAGAGACCGATCAGAAGAAATTAAAAGCATGTCCTTATAGAGTGTCTATGTATGGAGTGACATATGTAAAGTGAATATTCTATCGACAAACCGGCAAACCAGTGCAATCGTGCAACTCACGCCAGACTCACTGTCGTCCAGGTAAGGGTTTCGATCGATTTTCCGCAGTCATTGACCTCCATGGTTACGTTAATACCGCTATCGTTGTCGTCAAGTTTAGGTCGTGGTTTTTTAATGGTTTCCACATTAATATAATTATTGATTAAATTCTGGATTTTCTCCGGATATTTTAGAAAGAAACGAAGTTTATTAATACAGTCTTTTGTTTATACGTTTTGTTTTGCGCTTTTTAATTTTCCCTGATTTCTTGATAAAATTGCAATTTGACAGTCATATTACAATTTTTTATATTATCACTGTTGAATAAAATTACAATTAGATTTATCAGGTAGTTATACGAACTATATTTTTGTGCAGAATTTATTCACGAAGATGGTTAGTTATGAAGTAATTGAAGCGCAGATTCAAAACACCCTTCTTCGCTTTATTCAGAACTTTCTAGCTTCGATAATCCCGGTAGAAACTTCCACCATTATCCTAATGAAGAAATCCATTGTCACGGTACAGCAAATATTGCTATATATGCAACGTTCTGATTGAATCAAATTATTATTTTTTTTACGTCAAAACTAAAACGATAATGCTGTAGAGATTTTTGGTTTTATATTAATTTCCAGACACGCGCGTAGGTTTTATGCGTGTATAAATCAATCGATTTCTCTAAATCAAAGTTACGGTCTAATTAGCCGCGATTCTCGTTTTATCGGCAAAAACCGGAAATGATGGGAAAAGGTTTGTGCAATGCAATTAAATAGCAATTAACTTCTATTGGCGCGCGTTTCCGTATATAATGAGGTCGTTCGCTGAATTTTTTTTTCCAAAGCCAATATCTGCGAACAGTTACGATTGATCATATTGAGATAATTAAGTCGAAAATACTGCGGCAAAATTAGCAATTAATTAACCCTTGACATCGACTGGTTCGCGTTAACGTAAATATTTCGCGCGAGTCATCTACATAAATCAAGAAACAGGAAGTAATCGCATCCGGAATATATTATATTAGGGTGTCCAGCAGACACAATGAAAAAGATTCCCTGACTTTTTCAGATTTTCCAAGACCAGAAATTAATTTTTTCCCTTACTTTTTAGTATTATTTTTTCCAAATATATAATTTGCATATATCTATATGATAAATCAATTAAATGTTAAATCATGAAATCCTTATAAGATATTTTTGTCAACAATGAAAAGGTTCGGAAGTTAAAATAAAAAATTTTAATCAATTATACAATCTGCGCATTATGTACGATAATCGAAACAAACATGTCACTATAGACTATTTAAATAATCACCTGTTTTTATTTATATTATATCAATTTTTTTAATTTCGTTTCTATCAAACACATTGAAATAAAATAATACGACGATGAAAATATATAACAAACACGCTATAGATGAATATATTTT